GGGACTTAATCAGTGGTGACCAATTTATGTATTTTGAAATCTTAAAGGATTTTTTAAAATACAGATGCCCAAGTTATCCCACAGACACAATAAACAAAATGTAGGGCCCTGGCATCTGCACTTTTAACAGGCTCCCTGGGTGACCTACAAACTGGAGTAAAAGAACCACTAGACTGTCCCCTAGTGTACCTTCCAAATGAGACTGTCGTTCCAGCATCCCACAAGGGATGCTAGAGAGAGACTCTGCCAGTTTTTCCAGTCTGGGGAGTGGCAATTGGAGATGTGGAAGGAGATGTTTCCCCTTTCTCCTCTTTTCTGTCCATGAGCCTCACCTCCCCTAGAAAGCAGGACTCGACTTGGTTCTGTTGGAATGACAGACCCATAAAGTTTAGTCATACTGTGGGGTAGCAAGCTTATGTGGGCTAGCCTGGGAACCTAACCACTATTTATAACATAGTTTCTGTATGAAACTATGTTCCAAGTTCCAACAACTGCCTTTCAAAAATATGTGGAACACAACATGTCAGTAATTGGGACTCTCTATATAAAGTTATTTTCTCAGAAACTTTTAGCTTCTCATGGTAAACTTGACCTCAGAGAATGAGTAATCAATCAGTTTTCAGTGTCTGCTTTACAGTGGAAGAAATTCTTGTGCCCTGAATAATTGGAGACCTGCTTTAAGAACAGCTATTACTTTTGCTCAGACAATTGTGAGAGTGTTTCTTCCTGCTGTCATTGTTTTGCCTGAGGGAGATCAGTGCCGGCTTCACCTGGGAACAGTGATGAATGGTCTGGGATATAGTGTGGTAGCAATGACTTCAACGTGGTGCTTGCAAAATGAGGTCACCTTTCAGAGCTAAGCTACACTGGTGTCCCACTCCAAGGACTCTACCCACAGAAGTGAGGTAAACAGCCACATTGCCAGGGTCTTCCACCCCCTTTTCCCCTGGATGAAGAACAGTCTTATGAGATAGAAAAGATAGGGATTTACAAGTGGTACATATTAAAAAAAATATAGGGGCTTGTGTTGGTCCCAATGTCAAATTGAATAAACAGTCTGATCTTGATCCCCTCTACTGTCTACACACAAAAAACATCACCAATAAACTATATCAAAGAAGTTAAAAAACCACACTCATTTACCTCCTGATGAGACCATACTGTGTCTGTTCCCCTGAGGTCTGACTCCCCCCTCCAACTTTAAGAGGGTCACAGAAACCTTTAAGGATGCCCCAGTGGCATATCCTGGATAGGGAAGAAGTCTGGAAGTGTCATCTGAATGTAATCATCAGGTTGAACAAACAGGACCCAAAGAGACACTACCAGCCCTTGGATGCCTTTGCCTGCATCAGAGCAAGACTCACAGCAGCAAAATCTGGGAGAGAAGAGGTCAAAGGGGCCTCATTCCTTTTATGCTTAAACAATTAATTAGATAGACATTCAAGTAAATTTTTAATACTTTAAAAATAGCCAGGGCTTCCCGGGTGGCACAGTGGTTGAGAGTCTGCCTGCCAATGCAGGGGACACGGGTTCGTGCCCTGGTCTGGGAAGATCCCACATGCCGCGGAGCGGCTGGGCCCGTGAGCCATGGCCGCTGAGCCTGTGCGTCCAGAGCCTGTGCTCCGCAACAGGAGAGGCCACAACAGTGAGAGGCCCCCGTACTGCAAAAAAAAATAGCCAATAGCTGAATTAATAGCCTGAAATAGACCTAAATTGCCTTTTAAAATAAAGAAAAATATAGCCAAATAGTGAAAGATGGAAAAATAACAAGGATGCTTTGTTTCAATGCATCCTTAAAAGTTGTGACTCTCACCGTAACAAGAAGAGCAAACGCACCTTAGAAGTGAAAGTTGCCCATCAATATGTGAAAGGAGCTCACTCTTCATCATTAATCAGAGAAATGCAAATTAAAATGAGATGTACTTTTTTTCCTTAACCTAAGAAACTGACAATGATTTTAAAAATTGAAATACCTATTGTGGTCCAGGATGCAAGGAAATGGGTACTTTCATACAGTGGAATTCTAGCTTTTCATATTTGGGGAGGATAATTTGGCCCTTTATATGTGTGAATAGCGTTTAAGGTTTTTGTACCTTTTGCCTCTGCAATTACACAGCTGGGAATTTCTTCTGAAAAAATAATTACCAGTGTGTGTTCAGAAAATTTAGATACAAGGATGCTTTTTTGCAGTTCTGTAGTTTGGAACAATTAGGAAAAGACTAAATGTCCAATAATTGGAAATTAGCTAAGGAACTAAAGGTAGGACATCCATGCACTGGAGGGCTGTTAACCCCTATCAACACAGGCATAGTCTTGGGCCTTCAGGGTGTCCTGGGTGAGCAGCTGTGCCAGGTGGCCAGGTGAACAACCACCTGTACTATTAATAGTAGTGGCTGTCATTTGTGGAGCACCTACCATGTCCTGGACACAGGACTGACGCTCTGCACACTTCGTCTCATGGAACCCTCATGGCCAGCCAGCAAGGGAGGATGCAGAGACCTGGAGGAGATAGGATCCCGCCTCAGGTCACAATTAGTAAACCACAGAGCTGGGGCTAGAGGACAGGTCGGCCTGCTTCCAAATCCTGTGTTCTTACCACTGTGCCAGGCTCCTGCCTCGATAGCTAAGAGGAAGCTTCTAGGTCACCTAGTCCAACCTCCTTGCTTTTCAGATGGAGTAACTGATTCTTAGAAAGGGTCTCTGCAGGTATTGTTTTGGGTTCTGTGGTCAAAACAGATAACATCCCTGACCCCATGGAGCTTAATTCTGTGGGTAGGTAAATTGCAGGAAGTGAAAAGTGCAATAAAGAAGATAAAACCCGTGGATAGAGAATGCCTGGGGTGGGGCTGGGGGAATGACACATGTTAAAATTTGTGTGCCGAGAATATCACGTGAGAGCTGGGGAAGAAGCTTTCTGGCAGAGGAAGCATCTAGTGCAACAGCCCCAAGCTGCAAACAGACTTGGTGTGATCCAAGGACACAAAAGGTTTAGGGAAGAGAGAGTTTCATAATGGACTGTTTCATGCTCCCTGATGAGGAGTGAGACGGCGAAGGATGATGGGTGGAGGGGTGCAGTTTTTTGTGAGGAGGGGCTCAAGAAGCTGGGCTGGGCTAGAGACGGTGCTGTCTCCTTGAAGAACCCTTGGAATTGAAGAGCTTCTGCCGGGTATTTTGAGTGATGAACAGAATAGTGATGGCTGGATGTGATGCATTTCCAAAGGAAGTTATAAATGGATAAAACCTGAGCCATCCAGTAGGAGCCAAATGATTTAAAAAAAAAAAAAGGCAGTGGATTTGTTGCTGGGACACCAATCACATTTGGTCAGGCAGATTCCTGATTTGGTCGTCTGCAGGTTCCACCTCTGGAGGGGCTTGGCTGAACCCAGGCTCTGCTAAACCTTGAGCCAAGGGCAAGGGACTCGAGCTCCAGCCACGGAACAACCCAGCCTTCGACGGCTCAAGTTCACCACCCTCCCTGGGCACTAGACCTGGCCCCAAACAACCTGGGGTGGAAGCCAGTTATGACTTCAAAAGTCAAACATGAGAGAAGCAGCAAAGCTAGAATGGGACCAGTCTAGCCACACACACACACACACACACACACACACACACACACACACACACACACACGCTGTGTGACCTTGGCCAAATCTCTAGACCTCTCTGTGTCTCCAGCTGCAGGTTGAGGGGGCGTGTGTGACCATCGCTAAGGGCCTTTTCTGGTATAAACTGACAGTGAGTTGATGGTTTCTATGTGTGATTTGTGCCCAAGGAGGGTTCTTCCAAAGACTAAGCTGTGGGCTCTGATGACATTTCTGGCAGGGAAGTTTAGAAGTGATTTGAGAAAAAGCCCACAGAAGGGCTGAGGGTAATGGGTTCCCCTAGAGCGGCATTCATTTGGATCTATAAGCCTCAGGGACTAGAATAAAAAGACAGTTTCATAACTTTGTGGCCTCAATCAGAATGTTAATATTACCAATGAAATTCTTTTATGAAAGTCAGCTCAATGGGAGAAAAAAATTCTTTTTTTTTAAATGCTGAGTTATTCACAGACCCTACTATATTATGGAAGATGAAAGGGAAGGGTACAATGTAGAGGTCAGAACAGACCTTAACACCTGGGCAACTAGGACCTGCCCTGGGCCCCATGCTCTAAGCGGACCTCACTCAGACCCCATGGGGTTCAGAATTCACAAGGCCATGGGGCCCTGCCCACCTGGAGCCTGTACCGCTTTCCCCCTCCTAAGGCCATGCCCTGAATTCCATGCCCAAATGCCTGGAGCCACATCTAGGGTCCAAAGAGCCTCTTTAGGGAGGACTGAGCTTCTGGGGTGGTCAAGGGGCTACTGATGCTGGAAGGGGGAGGAAGTGTGGACTGAGCTTGGCTGGCCTGTGGGGTGGAGCCAGGTGGGAAGAGGAGAGGGTGAGTGGACCACAGAGCAAGGTCAGCCCCCCTGTGCTGCTGTGTCCGGACTGAAGCTCTGAGGGGCCCCAGACTTCTGAATTCAAACTTGGCCTTCCAGATCCTAAGGAAGGTATATTTACCTTCCTTTAACCCGTTATGATGGAAAGATAGAAAATATTTTACTGAACAATTGGTTTGCTTGCCTGTAACTTAATATTTAGACATATGGTATGTGGGCCTTCACTGATGCTCTAGCTCTAGGCCCTGCAAATGTCAGGGGGAGGCCTGTTAGAGTGCATTTTTCCTTCAGCCTAGTCTTGGCAGACAGCCAGGGTTCAGATGCCAGCCCCGCCACTCACTTGGGCCTAGGCAAGTTGACTTTCCTGAGTCAATTTTCTCATCTGTAAGTAAATGGAGATAAGAATAGTACCACCGTACAGGGTTGTTGTGGGGATTAGATGAGATAATGCACATTTAAGAGCCTAGCACCGTGCCTGGCTCACAGTAAGCTTTGGGGAGTGTCAGCTTTCAGCACTGTGTGCCTGATGTCCCTGCTGGCTATAACCTGGTGTCTCCTGGTCTCCTTGTTTTCCAGACGCCGCAGCAGTATGAGAGAGAGTACAACAACAAGCGGTCAGGCGTGGGGCCCAGCAAGTTCCATGGGTACGCCTACGATGGCATCTGGGTCATCGCCAAGACGCTGCAGAGGGCCATGGAGACGCTGCACGCCAGCAGCCGGCACCAGCGGATCCAGGACTTCAACTACACGGACCACACACTGGGCAGGATCATCCTCAACGCCATGAACGAGACCAACTTCTTCGGGGTCACGGTCAGTCCCAGGCCCCCAGGCTCTGCTTTCCTTAGTGCCCCTTAGAGACATACAAGGCAAGAGGGGCTGTGTCACAGGCCCTCTGATATACAGTCCATTTCCTCAATTGTTGAAATAACTTCCTGTGGGCTTTACGATTGCAGGGCTGCTGAAACGGGCACATGCGGTAACGCTCTCTGACATGTTGAGAAACTGCTTCTCTATAACTCATGGATTAGAAAGGCCATAGTGAGTTGACCGCACACAGAGCAGGTGGAATCCACCAGGTGGAGGGGTGGGGTGGGCCAGCAGAAGCTCTAGACCCAAAGTCAGGTTCAAATCCTGAGCCTTTACTTTCAAGTTTCCATCTTCAGACCACGGAATTTTCATCCCCAAAATGGGAATAATACCTACCTGGCAAAGTAGTCATAAAGATTAGGTGTTACAAATTAAAAACTGCTAGTGTTTGTTGAGCAAGCTACTTGCTCTGAGCTTCAAGATTCTCAGCTGGGAAATGGGGATAATAATATCTGTCTTGTGCAGAAATCAGGAAAATTAGCCGTGATAAGAATCACTGTTATTTCTTGAATGCTTATTATGTGCTAGATATGTGCTAAGCCCCCTCCATGTCCCTCTCCACAGCCCCTGAGACCCCTCCCTCAAAAAAGGCTCCACAGAGCACCAAATACCCCAGAAGTCCTTTTTGTCCATGGTGCAAATTCACAGACTGAGCCTTAGAGTGGGATGAGATTTGCCAGGGGTCCCACCAGTAGCATTGTGGCAAAGCTGTCTCAAAACGTGGGTACACTTTATGTAGATTAGCTCGATGATGTATGTCTAATGCTAGGCCCGTGTAAGCACTCAGTAAATGCTAGTGGTGGTTGTAGTTAATAATAGTCCCACTGCATCCGTATGCCATCTGTAGGAAGTAGGTGCTATTATCATCCCATAAATGTGAGGAGCCTGAAGCTCAGAGCATTTAAGTACCACAGCTAATCAGAGGTAGAGCTGGGATTTGAACCTGGGTCTAGCTCTTAATTGCTGCATCACACTACCTTCTGGTAATGGCCATAAATGGTAGTTATTCATGTCTCATGATGATGTATTTGTCACTGACTCTGCTCCCAGAAAATAAGGAAAATTTGCTTAAAGAATAGGTTGAAATGGACTCTAAAGTGCTGTCCTTTGTTCTAATTTGAAGAGTCATTTAGAGAATCAGTCTCTCTTGGGAGTAAATAAGATGAGATGATTTGTGTATTTCTTACATGTTCGTGTTCTTTTGTGCGTACGCTCAGGCTTGCTTTGTTGGTCTGACAGGCCAGGGCTTGTGCAGGTGCTGAGTGTAGACTGTGGTGTGGACGCCAAGGTAGTAAAATGGGCTCCTTGTCCTGGAGCCTGTGGTCCAGATACAGGGTTGAGACCTGGACTCAAATGACAGGAAGAGGTTAAAAGTGCTCAGCACCATAGGAGAGACTGTGTGAGCCCAGAGGGATTTCTGTGACTTTTGATGAAATAGTCATGGAAGCCTTTTTGGAAGTGGCAGCATTTGAGCTGTGCCTTAGACATGCAGAGAGGGGCTGGCGGTCCGGCCAGATGGGGCATGGTGAGCACGGGAAAGATGCATGCGTGCAGCAGGGACGGTTACTTTGTCGGGAATATTGGACGGGAGGATGATGAGACTGGGAAGGTAAGTTGGGGCCCAGTTCTGTAGGGAAAAGCTAAGGAGGTTGGCTTTTATCTTAAAGGCCAATGAGATTCTCCAAGTGCGCCTTGACCAGTAGTACCAGCATCTCCTGGGAGCTGGTTAGAAATGCAAATTCCTGAGCCTAACCCCAGACTTACTGGGTCAGAATCTCCAGGGTTGGGGCCCAGCCATCTGTGGTTTAACAGACCCTCCAGGTGATTCTAATGCACACTAGAGTTTGAGAACCACTGCTCTGGGCGTTGGGGAGCATTGAGGTTTGCTGTAAGAAGGATATTTCTACATTCCTGAATAGAGCCTCCCTTGACCTGAGACGTGGGCATCCGCTGCACAGTTTAGAAGTAAAGGCTGTAATTAGTCATCAGCAAAAGACATGTCTAGACTAGACTCAGACTAGAAGCTTTAACAACTTGCCTTAGCCCAGTGGTTTCAAAAATTCTTTTTTTATCCTCAGAACCTTTTGTTATAAAATTTTACCTAGTGCCTGGTATATAAGATAAATTAAGGAGATTCTCCGGTGAATGGAAGAAGAGCCCAAAGCCCTGCCTGATCAGCCCCCTCCATGTCCCGCCCCACAGCCCCTGATACCCCTCCCTCAGAAAGGCTCCACAGAGCACCAAATACCTCGGAAGTCCTTTCTGTCCATGTTACAAATTCAGAGACTGACCCTTAGAGAGGGGTGGGATTCGCCAGAGGTCCCACCGGTCGCATTGTGATAAAGCTGTCTCAAAGTGTGGATACACTTTTTCAGGTCATCATCACACTTTGTTTCTTATTTTATAGAATGAATTCATAGTATCCCAAGTTGAAATGGCCGGATAGAGAGCTACAGAATCTAGGAAGCCTCTCATAATCCTAGAACTCGGCATATTGTCTAGATGCCTGATGTACCTTAGGTGGAAATCATTTATAACTACTCCTAAGTGCTGTCAAATAATACATAACCCCTACTTGATGAGCAATTCGATGAGGCTGCCTGAAATGCTTTACCCAGCTTGAAGATGAGTTTCTTTTTAATGGGAAATTCCTTGACACATATTTTTGCCGGCTCTGGTTTGTGACTCATAATTCAGCAAATGTCAGAACTGAAAGCGATCTTAGAGATCCTCAGATTTAGCCCCTTTGGGTTGTGGATGAGTATCTGAGGTACAGAGGGGGAGTTTCAAAGTCACACGGAAAGAAGGTTTGATTCAGGCAGGACGGTGGTTCCGATGGGCCTGCCCCAACCATACTCCATGCCCTCTCCCTCCTCCTTGTACAAGTCCTCCGTTAGTTGAGAAAGAGATTGTAATAGTGAAACATTTCTTCAGGGTTTTTTTCCCTTCCTCCTTATCCCCTTTGTCACATATTAATATGTGCTTGTCACTGGGCTGTAGACAGGTTTCATTAAAATTGTCTTCTGATCAGAGAAAAAAGGCCATCTTCTGACAAAATAAAAAGTGTCCCTGTGATCCAAGGAGACCACGGAAGGCCAAGTTTAGCCATAAATAAAGAGTTAGGAAAGGAACAGGAGGTAGAAATAAATTGAAGCATTTTCTATTTGCTGAAGGGTTTTCATTATACAGCACACACGGTATCCATTTTTCCACTCTCAGGCAGACACTTTATTCTGGGTCACCCTCATTCAGCATGTTTACTATACGGAAAATCATTTAAACACATTAAATTAATTATATCCATGACTCAATTTCAATTGATTCAGTAGGCACTCTCGCCTGGGAGCTGGGCCTGTGGCTGCCGGTTGGCGTGTTGAAGAAGACATTTCTTCCAGGCATCCCAGATCAGGAATCTGGCTTAGCTTGGGGCCCAGCTCTCTTTTATTTTCTAAGGAGCTCTCCTCCCAGCTACCCTCCTCAGAGAACACTGGAGAACGAGACCTGTGTCCCCACCTACACACTGATGGCCTAGGGGTCCTGCCACCTCTGATTCCCTGAGTACACAGTTCTGAGTTCTGGCCCTGTCATTACCTCTCTCTGGTCTGCAGATTTCAGAATGCTTTCTCACCTGGAAACCCTTCTTCTGCCAAACATGTGACAGAAACTCAGGCTCGAATTGGCTGTTAGGTCTCCAAAGCCCAGAGCATTCTGAGAATCCCAGCTCAGCAGTGTTCATCTAGGGCAAGGATTCCTAAACTTCTATGTATATGAGAATCTCCCAGGGAGCTTCGTTAAAAATTCAGATTTCCTAGCCCTGCCTCAGAACTTCTGATCCAGTGGCTTTGAGGTAGCGCCAGAACATATCCATTTTTAACAAGCAGTCCCGGTGAGTCTCAAGTAACAGCCTTGAGAATTGCTTGGAGCTCTGTTGTATGTTCACGTGCATGCACACACACACACACACACACACACACACACACACACTTTTTGATTTTAAACCTGTCAGAGATGTATTTGTTCCTCCATTCATTCGCTCCTTAGCAGACCCTGTGCTGGGAGCATAGAGAGGAATAACATGGTCTGTCCCTCAAGGGCTCCCTGCCCAGTCAGGGAGAGACAGTAAATGAACAATTGTTGGGCACTGTTCAAGGTCAACCCAACACCCTTGGAGGGAGAGCTTCATTCTGCTTATGGGAGTAAAGACCAAGGAGCTGTCCTCGATTTTCACAGTTCAGTGAGCAGAATTCCATGTGTGGGTAACTGCAAGGTGCCTGTGCTATAGGTTCTCCCTGTGCCATGTGCTGGGGAGCAAGGGTACAGTGCCAGGCTCCCCCCTTCCCAGCACTCAGGGCCATGTACTGTGGCTTAATAGACTCCTCCAAGTAGGCTTTTCTACCAAAGAGGCACTAAATTCAACACAAGCTTATATCCATAACCCTTCAAAGCTGGCTTCGGAACATGTGCTAAGTTTCCAGGTGAAAAAATCAAAGCTTAAATTTTCTTTGGGTGATCATTTTTTAATTCCTCCCAGTTTCCAGTCTCTTTTAAAAAAGGTGATGTACCAGATCTCAAAATGGACACATCCTTTGAGTATGTCAGACCAAGATACAATGGCTCTAACCAGCAGTATTCCCTCTTTAGTAAATGTTTCTTCTGGCTTGTCTTTTTAAATGACACCATATTTACTTTGTGGTGCCTATGACAGAGGCTAAATTAACAGAATCTCATTATACCCTATTGTGAAGGTGTAATGTGTGTAATAGTTTCTCTGGGAAGTCACTGAGAGTATGCACCCCAGGTTTGGCTGGGGGCTGTGAGGCTTCCAAGAGCACCTGGCCATAGAGAAATTGAAAGGGCTGCTGGTAATATCTTTGATTGTGAGAAGAGGGCCCATTCTTGCTAAACTATTTCCTGTGATCACCTCTTTACTCCCTATGGGTGGA